AAATACGGTATAGCTATGAAAATTTGGTTTTGCAATCAGAGCCTTTGCTCCATACGCTCTATCCCACCTCGTAACGAGTCTAACGTCTTTTTGTGTGTTTTGACATTTTCCATTGTTTTACAGAAAACCAAATTATTCATAAGTTTATAAAAGTTTTTTTCAAAATCATCATTCGATTTTCTCATTTCGGTGTTCAAATATATATACTTTTGAACCACGGCGTCTGTTTTGAGTCGCAGCGGTTGCAAGCGTTCTCCCTACCTCTAAACTCTCTATGTGAGCGACTACTTAGAATTATTTATTAAGATAACAAACGGAAAGAGCAAACCGGATGGTTAGGAGCTGGCGTTGCATTGAAGGATCAAGCGATGTGCAATAACGTAAAGCATACGTTGTCTTTATTTTTCAATTTTTACATTTGTACATTCTTATTATATACATCTTACATTGTATAACCCCACGGTAAGGTGTCGGTCGTACCAGGAAGAATGATCGTCTTGTCGTCATTCCAGCTCAGTGCTACTTTTCTCTGTTGTGCGGTATGAACTTTATGTTTTTTACTTTGAATTAAATTTTGGCATTTCATTAAATTTTGATGATGCAAAAGACATTTAATATAATCATCAAAGGTAATTCTTTTCAATGTGGAAGCCTTGACTCCTTTCGCGCGTTTTTTATATTTGCTTTCTACTAAAATTTTGAAAGAGTATAATTTTGCTCGCAATCCTACAAATTCAATCATAATTTTTCCATTATTTTCATCCTTCATTAATCCTAATACTTTTTTATTTACAAATGGTATATCATAAACGTTGTCCGGAGGGTAGTCTGAGGTGTCAAATTTATCTAAGTCGCGTTTAATATACTCATATATATTCGGAACTGTAAAGTAGTATATTAGACTATCGGTGTCGGTATACATCAATTTAGCTCTATCACCAAAAGTATTTTTTATATAGTTGTAGTGAAAATCGTATATGTACGTTTTAGAAATGTCTAGAATGGAAAATCCTGCGTATATCGGTTTATTGAATTTAATTTTGGTTCGATTTATTTCTACTATGATCATATCTTCATCAAATACGGTACAGCTATGAAAATTTGGTTTTGCAATCAGAGCCTTTGTTCCATACGCTCCGTCCCACCTAGTAACCAATCTAACGTCCTTTTGTTTTCTGACATTTTCCATTGTTTTTCCGAAAACCGAATTGTTCATAAGTTTATAAAAATTTTTTTCAAAATCATTATTCGATTTTTTTCTCATTTCGGTGTTCAATTCTATATACTTTTTGAGCCACGGTGCCTGTTTAAATTTTAGAACACGATGAGTTTTTGTTAACTTTAGACCTAATCTCAAACACTGTTTCAAATTCTTATAATGAATGACGTATCTATTTTTCGGGAGTAGTGAAGTTATCAATTTCGAATTTTTAGAGCCTGGAGGAGTGTATTGTTGCGGACAGAGTGGCAAATCTTTATGAAGCTCTTGAAGCTCGACAGGATACTCCAAATCAATTTCGAATATGTAACCTGTAAGAGAGTCATCGGGAATATTGCAAATATCTAATTGTTCAAAATTTTCTTCCCATTCGAATGAGCCTACTGGTAAAGATTGACTCATAGCTGCACCGTATAAATTATTTACGTCATAGTACATAATATACGATTCCTCTTTGCTTGGATCGAAATCAGCTCCCATGTACCTATTGTTGGCCCTGGCGTATCTGTTGGAGCATTGAGCTACACCACCTCGGATACCTCTCTCGATAAACAACAACATCTCTACATCAGTCAGCA